TCCTTTCAGCACTTTAAAAGTGTCATTTTGTTGTCTTCCAGCATAATCTTTCCATTATCTTGTAGCATCTTTCACCATCACTGAGCTGTCTGGTGTCATTCCTTAGTATCTGCTGATAAATAAACTCAACAACCAGTAACATTTATTAAGGTCACTTTGATTACACTATGCATGCATTAATTCATTGAATCCTTACAAAAATCTTATGAGTCATGCTATTTTTCCTCATATTCCAAAGGAAGAATCTCAGGCTAAGAAAGTACAAATCTTGGCCAAGCACAAATAGGGCGCAGTTAGAATTCAATTCCATATCTTTCAAAATACAAAGCCTACTTTTTAAAAAAATTATTTATTTTTGGCTGTGTCAGGTCCTGGTTGCATCAGGAGTGATCTTCATTGTTGCACACAGGCTCCCCAGTTATGGCGCCTGGGCTCAGAGCTGTATGGTGCAGGCTTAGTTGACCCATGGCATGTGAGATCTTAGTTCCATGATCAGAGATTGAACCCCCATCCCCTGCACTCTAAGGTGGATTCTTAACCACTGGACCATCTGAGAAGTCCCACAAAGCCTACTTTGGACCACTATATTATGCTGTCTCTCAAATGCCACAGAGCAGTCAGCAAAAGGGTGGGGAAACGGAAGGGTCCCTGGGAAACAAGGTGTGGATTCCCATCCCCCACTCATCAGGCACCATCTCCTCCAAGATCATCATCACTGAAAAAGATTTTGCTGAATCTGAGGCCCTGTAAGTAATTAAGCACTGATCACAGAGGCCTCCCTCTTGGATGTATTATAAGCTCGCAGTCTGTAAAGGGAGGGGATGAAGAGCTGTCACCTCCCACACCTCCCCCTCTTGGAATAAGAAGGGAACCGTATGTCTCCATTAGGGTTTAGTGCAGTGTTTTCCTAACAAAACCTACTGACTGAATATTTCCTCCTCTGTGTTACATGTGGAACTCATTCTTATCGGAGGCCCTGAGTGTTCCAGGTAATTACTTTCAGAAGAATGTCAGAGAAAATTGGCAATTTGGTGACACTGCCTAGAGGACTTAGTGCTACTCCAGCAGAATGGGGGATTAAGATGAAAACTCCAGAAACTGAGCTTCCAGATAAAAATGTATTAATTGTCCTTGGATAGATCTAGAAATCAGTTACATTATAATTTTACCTCCCCAAACGGTTCCCCAGGCAGCTGTGCCATGGACGTGCTGCTTATCACCAGTAAACTCAGAGGAAGATGGCCCAGCATCTCACTGTGGCAGGCAAGTCAGGTCGGTTTGAAGCCTGTCTTTGGGATCTTGGCTTCCTCTTACCCAGAGAACAGACAATGCATTTGTAGATGCAACAGGTAAAAACAGAACTCATAACTCTGGGAAATTCAGAAAGCATTGATGTAGCACCCTTTGGTGTGTGTTGCAAAATCGCTTCTCCCTCTAACTGCCCTGGACTCCCTCTGCTCCTTTGGCAGAGCCCCCTTCCATCCCTTAAGCAGTGCTTTTCTAGTTGTTTGGTTCCTGAGTATTACTGTATGTTTGGAGGAGCCAACTAGAAAATAATTGATACTGAAATCACATAAAAGCCCTTCTGAAGAAGTGTGAAAATGAAAGTGGTATGTGTGATTCTTATTTTTGTATCATTGTACTTTGTTCTCTATATGTGAACTTTGAGGTGAGTTTATTTGTAATTCTGCATAGATTTGCCTCTTCCCTTACTGTTGGATTTGAAGAACTCTTGAAGCTGGGTGACCTCATGTCCCTGCATACTTAACCTTAAATTCTGTGATTTGAGGTTTCATTCCTCTGTTTAGGCAGCTCTGTCTTTCAGCTTTATTTGTGTGCCAGTCATACTAAAATTTGCCCTTTCAGCTTCTGCCTTTTGCATGGAACACTTTGACTTCGTCTGAGCTATTATTCAATATGTGGTTATTCTCAGATTGTTTTGAGAAGGGGTATGTGTCATGAAGTTTTGTCTTCGGACTCTTATGGCTCAGTGTTAATTTAAGAGTGACCTGTGGTTATAGACTCAAGGTTTATGTCCCTTGAAAATTCCTGTGTTGAAGTCCTAAGTATGGCCTTATTTGAGATGGAGTCTCTAAGGAAGCAGTGAAGGTTAAATGAGGTCATAAGGGTGAGTCCCTGATCTGGTGGGTTGGTGTCCTTATTAGTGGAGACACCAGAGCACCCCCACCCCAGTCCCCTCCCATGGAACCTTAGTGGAGAAGATGGCATGTGGAACCTTAGTGAGAAGGGGGCTATCTGCTGGAACTTTCACCTTAGAATTCTAGCATCCAGAACTATGAGGAAATAAATTTTTATGATTTAGGACGCCCAGTCTGTGTTATTTTGTTACACAGCCAGGCAAACTAACACACTCAACCTTTTGTTACATTTACTTGATCTTCTAGTTTGTTTTCTTAGACATTGGCAATCTAAGAAGAATTGTCAGTTGTCAGATGTTAGGTTGTAATTTTCATATCCTTGCAACTAATTTCTTCCTTTTTAAGACCTGGTAAAGTTTTGTAGTTAGAAGAGACCAGATCTTCAAACTGTAATAGGAGTTAGGAAATCAGTGCAGTAGGTTGCAGCTGGCAGTTTTTTAAATGAAATACATTGCCTATGGTTTTGTGAAAGTTGTATTTCCAGAGTATGTATGTGTGACTGTGTGTACTAGATCAAGATATAAAATGTGTTTCTTACTGTAGGTTGTGGCAAAAGATTTTAAATCTGTTGCTCTAATCTAANTAGTTAGAAGAGACCAGATCTTCAAACTGTAATAGGAGTTAGGAAATCAGTGCAGTAGGTTGCAGCTGGCAGTTTTTTAAATGAAATACATTGCCTATGGTTTTGTGAAAGTTGTATTTCCAGAGTATGTATGTGTGACTGTGTGTACTAGATCAAGATATAAAATGTGTTTCTTACTGTAGGTTGTGGCAAAAGATTTTAAATCTGTTGCTCTAATCTAAGATAATCTTTTAGACGCTCTTAAAATATCCATGGCAGGTGATTATTGTTAGAATTTGAAGGAAAAGGAGGACCAGGATTGTGGACTCTGAGGGTTCAGAATTCTGACCTAGAGATCTAAACCCCAAAAGGGAAAGATACAGGGCAGAGGAGAATAAGTTAGGTATGTTCATGAAACCAGTAGTCTTGGGAGGGTGAGGATGGGTGGGGTGACTACAAAGACCAGTATAATGTGCTCTTGTTGGACGAGTTCAGGGTACAGTGAGGTTCTGTGGCAGAGGACTGTCATGGTCATCCAGAGGGATTCAGGAGGACTTCGCAGAGCAAAGGACATTTATGAAGAGACTGTTGTTTAGTCACTAAGTCATGTCTAATTGTGAGACCCCATGAACTGTAGCCCACCAGGCTCCTCTGTCCATGGGATTTCCCAGGCAGGATTACTGGAGTGGGTTGCCATTTCCTTCTACAGGGGATCTTCCCAACCCAGGGATTGAACCCGAATCTCCTGCACTGCTGAGCCAGCAGGGAAGCCAGCCTGAGTCTTAAGTCGGCGTTCATTAGACAGACAGAGCAGCGTGGGGGTCACATGAGGGGGTAGGTAGCTCATTGAACAGCTTCCAGTGGAGATTAGATATTTAGACCGTACGTCCTAGGTAGCAGGGCTCCATTCTGCTGTAAACATAGTCATCTCAGGCAGCCTGCAGAAGCTGGCAGCAGCCAAAACTGGACTCAGACAGTCAATCAGCTGGCAGACTGTTGCCGAGTCCTAGAAGCGAGGACCTGCCTTAGGGCAGCGCCGGGACGTGGCTGTGCAAATGCAGCGAAGGAAGAACCAATGAGGCCTGACCGAGTTTGGGGTGTAAGAGGCCAGGGGAGGGAGGGGCACCTTCGGCTCGTTTTGGGGTTCAGCACCCAGGGAAAACAGTCATTACTTTCCTAGCAGTAGAGAACATTCAAGAGCAGTCAGCCTTGGGAGGGAAAGTGATGGGGAGATATGGATCTTACATCTTGAGTTGTAGAATTCGTAGAGCTCTTAGGGCAGCTTTTCAAGGAATGGCCTTACTAGAGCATTTCTCATGGTTCATAGGTAAAGTTTTCCATTTGTTTGGCTTTTTTTTTTTTTTCTTTAGAAAGCCCCCAACTGTTGGGTAAAATATTAGATGTTATTTAAATTCAGCAGGTTTTATTATTCTAAATCCAGGAAGCTATATATTTTCAATATTTTTCTCAGCTAGAACATGAAATTGTTACTCACCTTGACTCATAATCAGGTTTTTAAAAGAGAAGGTGGCAAAACAAGGATTTGTCTGTTTATAAATCAGGTATCAATGTATTATACATTTACATGATGAAATGCCAGGCAGTTGCTTTGAATTAAAAGCCTTCGCAATTCAATTTTTACTTCCTTCAGAGCCTCCTCAACACACTCTGTTTTCTTTATTCGTGGTCATTATTCTACAGTGACTTTTGAGAAGCAGTTTCTTAAAAAGAGTACAAATTGTATTACTCCTCTTTATTGAATTGAAATTCTTAACTAGGCTTTCCATTAATGAACTATGGTATCCATGTTAGGCCAAAAAGGCTAGTTGGATTAATTAAGGTAGTGTTTCGGAATTGGAGTCATCAATGAAAGTTTCCCTAACAACTCAAGCAAAATTTAGTAACAACCATGAAAATTCATATGAGGGAAAAAGTGGCAACAAGAGGAATTTGAATTACACATGATAATGCCAAAAAACTTCATTAAACTTCTTTCAGTGATACTGCTCAAGATAAACTTGACTTTCAGTTCTGGGATGTATTCTTTATTCAGTGATTGGGTCTTCCAGGCTCAGCATGGCAGTGGTCCTAAGGAAAAAGAAATTCACCTTTGACGGTTTATAGAACATTCTGCTTTGATATGGAACCGTGTCTGGAGCATGAAAGAATTTTAACATGATAAGGAGAAAAGATCAGGCTTGTTTTTGATGTTCCGATACTTACTTGACAGTCTTTACAGCTATTTTCAGTTCTGACCTGACTCCTTTTTTTCTTGCTAGTTTAAGATTGGCAGAGAATGGTGGACGTGGATCGATTACAGCCGCTTCCAGGAGCTTATTCAGGAATATGAAGATAGTGGCGGATCAAAAACTTTCAGCGCAAAGGATTATATGGCCAGAACGCCTCACTGGGCCTTATTTGGTGCCAACGAAAGAGGCTTTGATCCCAAGGATACCAGATATCAGAGAAAGAACAAATCAAAGGATATTTCTGGATGTTGAGATTGTCTGAATTTAGGATACTGAAGGACACGAACCGATGGCGACAGAAGGTTCTCAGACTCCAGTGTGATTTTTTTCCAAGGACAGGTTACGCAAATAATATTACACATAGAGAAGGATGTGAGGAAGAACACGGGGATACAAGTCATGTCCCAGGGCTCAGGAGAGAGCAGCCACACTGGAGTGCCTGGGAGTTGGCCTCACCATCTCTTTCCAGAATTCAGTCCCTTTTCTGAATTTACTTCTGAAAGAAAACCATCTTGATGGGCAAGTCCATGAGCATGATTAGTTTTGAATTACAACTAGGAAGACTCGCTGGGATGCCATCCATGGGAGTGTTGTACAGTGTGAATTTCTGTTTCTCTTCCCTCATCGTGGGCTGTTGGTCTTCTTTCGATTGTACTACCCTGAGGTCCACGTGTCTGCTCACTGTAAGATCTCCATCCCTTTCTTACGTCTGATGATAACGCCTCCTGAAAGTAATTTAAATTGTCATCATTCTCAATTACTTTAAATACCACATAGATTTTTTAAATTTTTGCTTAGTTCCAAGCCTGTAGAAATTGAATCAGATCTAAAACTGTACTAGATTTCATTGTTCCCGTACAGATTGCCAGAGAAGGTAGCATGTGAGCTGGAGTAGAGTAAAATCTTCTATAAGGGGAATTGTCATGTGATGTCACTGGATAGTCTCACACACTGTGAAACGAGTACAGTTTGCTTTTGCTTTGAAAAGTCAGCGTGTAAACTCATCACTACCCTTCTAGCAGGTTTCCATCTTCTTTCACTCTTGTGCCCTCGCTACTTTCTGCCGTGTGTTTTTTTAAGGCTCAATTTGTTTTCCAAGTGAAAAAAACAACAAAAAACCAAGGAATTTTTAAAAGAATAAGTAATTTAAAAAATCCCTTAACCCAAAAATCCAAAAAAAAACCTTTGGAAAGAACTGGAACAAAAAATTTCCTTTGAAAACCTAATTTAAAAAAGCCTCCAAGCCCGGGGCCCCTAAGTCCCATCAGACCCAACCCCCCCCACCACACCCATATATTCTTCCTGTATTCTCTGCTGAAGTTCATAATGATATAATCTACCTACTCATTTAGTTGAAAACTGGGCACTGTATTTATATCTGAGTGATAGAGTCAAAACATGTCTCTTTGTTGTGCCATACGGTGAAATCTGATGTTCTTCGTCAGCCCACCACATCCTCATATCCCATGTTCTGTTAACTCCTGAGACAGACAAGGGACGGGAGTGATCCAGGACAGTGAGGCAAGATCTCAGCGAAGCTCGGATGTGTCAGTGGTCACTGAGCAGAGATGGAAAATCACCGTGAAGTAAAGCAGCGCGATATGGTCAGCGCTCATGCTGTGGAGCGCACAGATTGGCTGCTGTCTGACAGGCAGCTGAGCACACAGCTCTTGGAAACACTTGAGGGGCTGCTGTGAGGAGCAGGGCAGGTGGCAGGGCCTGGTTGACTTTGGACTGTCCCTCAGCCTCCTCTTCAGCCGGGCACCTCTGCTTTTATTTTTTCATGCATTGAGGTTCTGCTCACAATTTAATTTGAACACAAATATTCTGTTGCTTCAAAGGGAAAACATACAACAAACCTCTCACCTCCTGAAGAACCCTCCTGATGCCATTAGCTTTAAGTACACAAATGAGCAGTTTTTCTCCCCCTGCCATCCAGGAAGTGTTTGCTTTATATTTTTAAAAAATAGCATGGCATATTAATCCTGGTTCACAGACACAGCAGAGAAATTTAAATGCCTAGGGGAAAAAAAAATACAGTAGAATCCGTGTGAAAAAAATTCAGCGTTTGCTGAGCAGTATTCGAGTAGAAAAGATGGGAAGGTTGAATGTTCTTAGAAGGTAAGCTGCTTAGAAAATAGCATTCTAGATGTCCAGTGGAAGTTCTTGTTGGAGTTTGAGCCAGTGAGTCTTACGTTCTGCTGAAAAAAACCAGCCAGTGAAAATAGTTACAAATATTCTAGAAAAATCATTATTCAAGGAAAATCCCTTTGCAAGCTATTAAATCATGTTGTCTAAAATAATTAAAACAACATGAAACAAGAAATCAGCTTCCAAAATGACAGAGTAAGAACCTCAGTGAACTCACTCTCCCTCCAAAACAGTGAAAATACGGGCAAAAAAACTAAAACCAGTGAACTGTAGCCTGTGCGCTTACTCAGTCATGTCCAACTCTTTGTGACCTCGAGGACTGTAGCCCACCAGGCTCCTCTGTCCATGGGATTTTCCAGGCAAGAATACTGGAGTGGGTTGCCATTTCCTCCTGCAGGGAATCTTTCTGACCCAGGGATCAAACCTGTGTTTCCTGCATTGGCAGGTGAATTCTTTACCACTGCACCACCTGGGAAGCCCATGAACTGTAGAACTCTTGACAGTTCAACCATGAGCTGAAAATCATCTGTTAAGAGAAGCTACTGAACCTCAATGAAAATTAACAGTTTACTTCTCATAAGAAAGCATAGAGGCCAGAAGACAGTGGGATGATGTCTTTAAAAAGCTGGAAGAAAAGACTTCCTACCAAAAATTCTCTATCTAGCTAAATTTTCCTTCAAAATTAAAGAAGAAATTAAGACATTTCCGGATAAGCACGAAGTAAGAATTCATCACCAGCAGACCTGCCTACAAGGAGGAGTCCTCAGGCCTTAACAAAAGTATGTTAGCCACTAACTTGAAATCATACCAAGAAAGAGCATTGGTGAAAGTACCTATGTAAGTTTTATAAAAGACAATATAAGTGTGTATTTTTGTTTGTAACTCTTCTGTCTGTTTTATAAGACAACTATGTAAAGCAATATTTATAAAAATTGAGTTAATGGACTTAGAATGTATAAAGATGTAATTTGTATGACAGTCATAGCACAAGAGGAGTGTGAGGGGGGAACCAAGCTATACTGGAGCAAGTCTTGATTACCCACTGTTGAAATTGAGTATGTTTCCAAAATGAATTGTTTTAAGATGCTAATTGTAATCTCTAGAATGGCCATAAGAATGAATTTTAAAAATTACAGTAAAAAATGTTTTTGCTTCCAGTTTCAATGTGTGGATTTTTAACTCTCACACCAAACAATTTTCCAGTACCAGCTTCAGCTTAATTCTGACATTGCCTGGAAATAGCATGAGATCCCATAGATTAAGTGCCCAGCCCCCCAGCTTCAGATGCCAATCACAAGTCCACTTTGTCACCTGTGCTTCTGATCAGCTGGAAGCACAGGTATAAACTGGAGGTTCCCTTGGGTTTGATTAATGTGCTAGAGCAGCTCACAGAATTCAGAGCAACATTTTACTTACTAGATTACTGATTTATTATAAAAGGATATAACTCAGAAACAGCCAGATGGAAGAGATACACAGGGCAAGGTATGTGGGAAGGAAGACAGGGCTTACATGCCTTCTGCACGCACACCACTCTCCCCAAATCTCCATTTGAACACCAATCTGGAAGCTCTCCAAACCCAGTTATTTTAGGGTTTTATATAGAGGTTTTATTACCTTATCATGGTTTGTTACATCATTGGCCATTGGTGATTGACCTTGATCTCCAGCCCTTCTCCCCTCTCTGGAGGTCCAGGCATGGGTCTGAAAGTCCCCAACCCTCTAATCACTTGGTGGGGTGCCCTAGCAATGAGCTCTCTTCTTTAGCTACCTAAGGGCTTTCCAAAAGTCACCTCATTAACAGTGAATGACTCCTTTTGTTGTTGTTATTGCTCTCATCACTTAGAACATTCCAGGTGTTTTAGGAGCTCAATGCTAGGAACTAGGACGAAGACCAAATATATATTTCTTATTATAAATCACAGTATCACAAGAGAATTTAAAAGGTATACTAGAAAATACCTGTTTAGCACAAAAGAAGACAGCAATAGGAATAAAACAACACGGATCTAAGAGATTCAAAAAAAGCAAAAATGCCAGGCATAAATCTTACCTTATTGGTAAGTATATTATGTAAGTAGATTAAATACCCTAATCAAAAGAGGCAGAATGTATTTTTCTTCTAAATCCAATTATATGCTGTCTACAGTAGACACATTTTAGATTAAAAGACTAAAGGAATTGAGACAGATATAGCATGGAAGCAGTGACCAAAAGAGAGCTGGAGTGACTACTAATGTAAAAAACATAGGCTTTATTTATTTTTTATTTAAAAATTTATTAATTTAATTGGAGGCTAATTACTTTACAGTATTGTAATGGTTTTTGCCATACACTGACATGAATCAGCCATGGGTGACATGTGTCCCCCATCCTGAAGCCCCCTCCCACCTCCCTCCTCATCCCATCCCTCTGGGTCATCCCAGTGACCAGCCCTGAGCATCCTGTCTCATGCATCAAACCTAGACTGGCGATCTGTTTCACATATAATAACGTATTTCAATGCTATTCTCTCAAATCATCCCACCCTCACCTTCTCCCACAGAGTCCAAAAGACTGTTCTTTACATCTGTGTCTCTTTTGCTGTCTCGCATATAGAGTCATTGTTACCATCTTTCTAAATTCCATATATATGCATTAATATACTGTATTGGTCAAAAACATAGACTTTAATACAAAAAATTACTAGGGACCAAAGGGATGTTTTATAGTAATAAATTTTAATTATTATAATTATTTATAATTCCATCTTATTAGAAAGATTGTAATCATTATTAGTAATAATTGTAAGCATGAATGGACCTAGCAATAGTGCCTCAAAATATGTGAAACAAAACCTGACTGAATTGACGGGAGATGATTCAGTAGTAACTGGAGACTTGCATAACCCACTTACAATAATGGATAGAGCAACTCGGCCAAAGACTGACAAGCAAGTGAGATTTGAGCAACACTGTGAAACAAGTACCCCAACAGACCTCTTAGAACACTCCACTGAAAACACCTCCTTCTCAAGTGCCTGTGGAACATTCCCCAGTAACAGACCATATGTTAGGTCAGAAAACAAGTCTCAATAAATTTAAAAGGATTGAAATTATACAAAGTATATTCTCTGACTAATGGAATGAAGTTAGAAAGCAATAGCAGAAGAAAATTTGGAAAATTCATACATCAAGAAAAAATATACATTGAAATTACCCAACATCCTAAACAAACAGTGGGTCAAAGAGAAAGTCACAGGGCAATTAGGAAAGATTCTGAAATGAATGAAAATGAATATACAACATACCAGAACTTAATGGGATGGTGCTAGTGTTGTGCTTAGAGGAAAATTTATAGCTGTAAATGCCTTCATTAAAAAGAAGATGCATCTCAAATTAATAACCAGACCTTCCATCTTAAGGAGCTAGAAAAAGGAACAACTAAACCCAAAGTGAACTAAAGTGAAGTCGCTCAGTCCGACTATTTGCGACCCCATGGACTGTAGCCTACCAGGCTTCTCGGTCCATGGGATTTTCTAGGGAAGGGCACTGCAGTGGGTTGCCATTTCCTTCTCCAGGGGATCTTCCTGACCCAGGAATGGAATCCGGGTCTCCCCCACTGCAGGCAGACGCTTTTGCCCTCTGAGCCACCAGGGAAGCCCAAGTGAACTAAAGGAAGAAAAGAATAAACACCAGGGCAAAAATAAACGAAAGAAAGAAAAGCAAAAGAAAAAATTAGTGAAGCTAAAAGTTGGTTCTTTGAAAAAATCAACAAACTTGGCAGACCTTTAGCTAGGCTCACCAAGAAAACAGGAAAATGCAAATAGTTAAAATCAGCTGTGAATGCAGTTTTGTAAATATACTAAAAGAGATGCATTGTGATTATACTAAAAGCTATACTGTACAATTTAAGGGGGTAGATTTTTAGGTTTATGAGATATATCTCAATACAAGTGTTTTAAAAACACAGAGGTGAGCTTTATGAAACCAATATAGGATAAAATCAGTGGAAATTTTGGAGAAAAATTATGTATTTTTATGTTTATACTAAATACCAAAAAG